CCCACATACAGACCGGTTCCCGCTCACTGGCTGAGCGAGGTGCAGGAGCGATGCCGAGGGGTGCGATCCCGTTGCCGGTCCCGGTCCGGTACCGTACGGGCGCGACACTGAGGGTTGCGATCCGTTGCCGGACACGAAAAAGACAAAAAAAAAAAGATTTTAAATCCTGGATCACTGTTACTCTCTCCAACCATAATATTAATACTTGGAAATTTCAGTATTCACACAGATGATCCCCACAATACCCTGACCTCTCTTTTCTTTGAATTCCTCATCCCCCAAGATCTTGATCTCCTTCCCATCTCAGCCACTTCCTTTTCCAAACATCCTACTCCCTGACTACCACCTCCTATCTTTCCAGCTAATTGCCTCTAGTTCCTGGGCACCAAAAATTCTTCAATTCAGTGTAACAGACAATCCATTCATCCTACCATCTTTTCACTACTGCTCATTCCTCATCTACTCACTTCCACCCTTTTCCAGAGCATTTCAAAATCAATCATCAAAACTATCCCCATGTACACACTCTCAATTCCCTTGGTCCCTCTCACCTCACCTCGGTCAGTAGGCTAAATCATAATTTTGTTAAATCCATGCTCTGCCTGCTCTATGCCTTACCAGTGTAGCTGACGGGGCTAGAGAAACAAATGCACACCATGCTGACTAGTCTTTAAATTTGTAACAGGAACCCTTAGCACTGCCCAGCACCCACACCGCACTGTTCTAGTGCATTCCCTCTCCTACTCTTCTAGAGGGCTATTTCATACATTCCCCTCTCTCCTCAAAATCTGATAGCTCTTCCCTAGGAGCTACTGCCCATGGTTCTATTTTCTCAATTAAAAAAAGAAAACAAAAGAGGATTTCCAGAAGTTCCCACTTACCAACACCTTCCTTCCTGTTACCACAGATGAACTGTCCATGCTCCTATCAAGACCAACCTCCAGAAAGCCCATTAGAAGGCAGAGATCTTTATTTTGTTCCATGAAATATTCACAATCCCAAAATGGTGGCTGGCAGAAAGTAAGTGCTGAATATTTGTTGAATGAATGAATGAACAAACAAATGTATTCTTCCACTATGTGCTATATCTTATCTTTTTCCACTCTTCGTGGACATCCCTCACCAATTATTCTGTCTCCTTGCAGTTTCACAACTGTTCCCTCTGTGCTCTCATCGTTACCAGAAAGCTTACAAATCCACTATTACATCTGCCAGTGTAAGAAACGTGTCCCTTCCCCAATTCCCCCTTCAGCCACTGCCCACTTCTTTGTTTTCCTTTGTAGTAAATCTCAAAAGAATTACCTATTCTTTCAATTCTTTCTCCCATTCTTTCATTTCCACTCAAATCACATCTTTCTTGCCACCAGTAAACAGAAACTGCTTGTCAGATTTGCTAATGACCTCCATATTGCTAAATCTACAGAACTCATTTCTTGACCAATCAGCTACAAATCACACAGCCAATCACTCCCTTCTACTTTCCTTACCTTCCAGAACATCAGCCTCACCTAACTTTCCTCCTACCTCCCTAGCAGCTCCTTTCAGTCTCCGTTGATGGTTCCTCCTCATCTTGCCAAACTTTTATCATTAAAGGACTCCAGGATTCAGTCCTCCAGTTCCTTCCCTTCTCTATCTAAACTCCCTAGGTAATCTCATCCAATTCATGGCTCTAAATACCATCTATATCCTAAATTCACTATCTTTAGGTAGACCACTCTCCTGCTTATTTATCCAGCTGCCTACTCAGCATTTCTACTTAAATGTCTATTGGACAACCAAGTACCAGCTAGAGATTAGCTCTGATCTCCCCCACCCTGACATGCTCCTCTTGAAGCCTTTCTTACCTCACTAGTGGCAACTCCCTTCTTCCGGCTGCTCAGGTCAAGAACACTGGAAGTCATCCTTAACTCTTCTCTTACACACACATCCAGCTACATCAATAAATGCTGAATACCTTCAAAACAGATCCAGAATCTGTCCACTTCTTACCACCTCCACTGCCAAAACCATCATTTCTCATGATTATTACGATTGCTTCCTAAGGTCTCCACTTCCATCTTTACCCTCCTCAAATCTATTCTAAACAAAGCAGTCAGAGAGATCCTGATAAATCGTATCATCTCACTACTCTGCTCTTCACCCTCTAAACCTATTACAGAGAAAAAACAAGTCCTTAAAAGGGCCTACAAGGCCAGACATACTCTGACCTTCCATGACTTCACCCCCAACTACTTTTCCACTTACCACTCCACTCTAATCTCACAGGTGTGCTCTTGCCTCTGGTCTCTACACTTCTTGTTTCCTCCACCCATAATGCTCTTCCTCCAGATTTTTGCATGGCTCCCTCACTTACCATCTTTAACCATCTTTAATGTTTACGCAAATGTCACCTTATGAACGAGGCCTCCCCAAACATCCCATTTTAATATGCAACTCTTCCCTGCACAATTCTTATCCCCTTCCCAGCTTTTTCACCACAGAATGCATCTTTTAATATACCACATTGCATACTCTACACCACCCCTCCCAGCAAACTAGAATATAAGTTCCCTAAGACAGGGATTATCTGTCTTATTCACTGCCATATCCCCAACACCAAAAGCAGTTTGGCACAGAGCTGGTGCTTAATAAACATATGCGAATAAATTAATGAATTATTAAGACTTACAAGACATTTGACAAAAGCCTAAAGTATAAAAGCAAAAAAAGAAGATACACAAAAAACTGACTTCAGAAAAACAGAGACAGGCTGGTTAGCTCAGTTAGTTAGACTGCAGTGCTACAGCACCAAAGTTAAGGGTTCAGAATCCCATACCAGCCAACTGAAGAAAAAAAAGAGAGAGAGACAAATCAGGGAACAGAAGGAAACTCTAAAAAAATCCTATTATCAAAATCATCAGAAAAATTCAAGGATAGAATGCATCAAGAACAGGAAAGCTTCTGGAACTTAAAAATATTACTGTTGGAAAAAACATCAATAGAAAAGCTGGAAGATAAAGTAAAAGAAATCACCAAGAACACAGAGGAAAAAAGACAAAAAGATTAAAAAAAAATATGAAGAAAAGACAAAGTTTTAAGCCTGGAGAGCCAATATTTGACTAACAGAAATTCCAAGGTGGTGGAGGAAGGAGGGGGTGGCAGATAAAGGGAGAAATTTCAAAGAACGATTACATGATATTTTATCAGAGCTTAAAGGAGAATAGGAAAAACCCTCGAAATGAAAGAGTCCATTTCAATTAAAAACATACGGTAGAAGTGAGTCATAAGGTTAACATAAAGAAAACTTGAAAGAGTTATGTCAAGAAATTAACTGGGCTAAACAAAACCCTATTTGTTTTTTAGAGACATTTATGCATGGACTTTAAATGATAGACACAAACATTTTCCTTGCATAGCAATAATGAAAATAAAAAGAAGTCAAATAATATAGCCCTAGTACTATAATCTCTTAAATTACGTTTAGCAATAGTTTTATATAAAGATTTTTAGAAAAAAATATTACACCTAAGAGGTTCTCAATAAATAATGAATAAAAAAATTGATTCTGTAAGTCTTTTAAAGCAAAAAGGTATTTTCATTTTCCATGAAAAAGAATATACATAACTTTAAAATGAAAACAGCAATTGTAGTGGGATGCTATTAGTAACATTTAATAGTTAGTTTTGAAAAATCTACTCATAAAAAGATTTTCTGAAAATGAGAGCTTTAATGAATGTATATACTTACAAACACTGATTTTAGCTGTTTGACTTACCTTACTCAGAGGGGCTTTGATTTTTTTCAAACACAAAGCAAGAAGTTCCCTAGATTCTAAAGCACACTGTATCCAAGTTCCTGGTGGCTGAAAATATCTGAGAGAGAAGATAACACACTGAAATCCAACTTCTCTCAGGAAAAATTAAATGTACAGATATAACAATGATTATAAATCAGTCATAAAAATACCCAAGGCTGATCTGAAGCACTTAACCCAAATATACTTTAACAATTTCAGAAAACTTTCAATTAGACAAGTAGCTTTAGTTTAAAAAGTAAAATTAAAATTTCTTACACATACTTCTAAAATGTTTGAGAACTGCTTATTTCTCACAAAAAAGGTAAATTAGTACCTCCCAACACTATGTATTAGCCACAGTCCAGATTACTCATCAATATTTCAAGCCTCTTTTCAAATTTTAAATTGCAAAACACAAGTTTTAAAATCTTAGGTAAAACCTGGCTAAATTAAAATTTAAATCCTTTATGCATGTGCTGTAAGTTTTTTAGCCCAACCTACTCAGGACTTAGTACAATGCCTGGAACATACTAGTAGGTGCTCAATAAATGTCTGTTAAATACATAATACTTCCAAATGTGTTATGTGAATGCCTTTGTGCTATACTTACTAAATAACTGAAAGTTCTGATTTCACTTTTCAAGGTTCTACCAAATACATTACAGAGGTCCCCCTTTGCTTATAAACACACTTTTGGAGTTAGAAAGGGCTTCACATATCATTTAATAAAACCCTTCATTCTGATGAGGAAACTGAACCCCAGAGATGATAAATGGCAAGAGTTTCAAAAAGCAAGTTTGAAACAGATTCAAGTATCTCTACACTATCTTTATCAGATTAGCAAACTAGAAAAGTACACTATAAAACTGCAAATTCTAAAATCTTTGGTGACACCAACATAAATAAAAATTAAATCTCTGAGCTGGCTAGTTAGCTCACTTGGGAGAACAAGGTGCTGAGAACACCAAGGTCAAGGGTTCTGATCCCCTTACTGACCAGCCACCAAAAAAAAAAAAAGAAAAGAAAAGTAAATCTCAATTGCATGTACTTATTCTATGTATCTTGGCGTAATTTCAGCATATCCCAATGACTCTCTATATATAAATCCCAGGTTTACGGAGAGTAAAATAGTATTCAGTTTATCACTCTTTAATTCATCCAACTCATCTCTAAATAAAAATGTGGCTGCCTATTTAGTCTAGTTGATGCCTCATTTGTTCTGTGCACTATCTCAAGTGCTGCACTGAGAACTTTATTTATTCAAGGCCTACAGAGGACCTCATAGCTTAGGTAAAGAGCACGGTATCACAAGATAAAAAGACTACAGCTGTCTACCCATCTCCTTCTGATAAACATGTCTTAAAGTATTTCTGGAAGATATATAAACCTATGGATTACACCAATAGAAACTAATAGCTAAATCACTTCTGACAGTAATTAGACTGCAATAAATTCCAAAGGCAATTTTTTTTAAAAGGTGCAGGGCCTGCTAAAATATAAACATTTACCCAAAGAAGAATTTTTTAACAGGATAGGAATTATATCAACGTCTAGTGATTCAATATAAATGATGAGAGTATCATAATTCTGGGTGTACTGGGGGCAGCAAAGGTTTGAGAACCACTAACTAGAACAATAGTGTCCAAAAGAAAAGTTCAATAATCTTCCATGTTCAAAGGTAGTCACTAGCCACATGTGGGTACTGAGCACTTGAAATGAGGCTAGTAAGACAGAGCAATAAAAGTATTTAATTTTATTCCACTTAAATTAATTTAAGTTTAAATAGCCACGTATGGCTAACGGCTACATATGGACAGTGAAGACCTAGAAGAATGCAGTGAATATTTTAGCCATTCTAAAGCATGTATTTACTAAAACAAACTTTATAACTAAAAACGAATTCGATTTTCTACAGAAGTAAGACTTTTATTTTTTCCATTTATGACAAAAGAACCTCTCCCACCTCAAAAGCTTTCCCCCCAGTAAGTTTCAGACTCACTCTGAGATCTTCTCATTTAAGGGGCATAGGGAAAAAGGGTTGCAACTCACATGTGTCCAGGGCTGCGGTCGGCGGATTCTTTCATATACTCCATCGTTCTGTACACCCTAATTTTTTAAAAAATGAAAATGGTAGGATTTAAATCATCTGTCTACTTTCCTCTTTGTACAACTATTCCTTCTGCCTCTGAATGACACGGCAGAGCTTCGTATGAAGCAGGAAACAAGACCGACTTCCACTTGGCGACTTAGGAAAAAGCAACTTCTTTAGGATCAGGACCAAGGGATCTCCGGAGTTTCCAACCTACAAGACCCGCAGGCCTCGACCGGGCGGCAACCCGAGCGCACCCAAGGCAAAGTCAACGCGCTCCCTCTCTTCCCCCACCACAGGACCCCTGCCCACACCCGGCGGCAGCACCTCGAACTTGCGCGGCTGGAGTCCCCGGACGGCGTCACGGAGCCCGCGGGCCACCGCACATCGAGACCCCGACTCCGACCCCCGCACGCGCGACCTCACAGGAGCTCAGGGCCGGCGGCGCACACGCGGGCAACGGCCGACTCGAGCACGCGGACAGAGGCCGATTCGAGTCCAGGGAGGCCCGCCCCACTCCCTCTTCAGGGACCCCGCGCGCCGGCAGACCAGGTCTCGGACCCCAGAACCTATTTAGCGCCTTCTGGCGGGACCCGGATTTGTTAGAAACGCGTAGCCAAACAGACCCCCGACTCCCCGTCAGCCTCCACCACAGCCGGCCTGGATACTGCCAAGATCTCGCGAGAGAAGGACTCGCAATCCCGCGGCCCGAGGACGCGTGTTAAAGGGGCGGATGGGGGAGGAGAAAAAGAAGGGGAAACAGGGGGGGGGCTAAGGAGAGAGGATGGGCGGGGGGAAGGAACGCTGGGAGGAGCCGTCCCGGG